AATTAAAATCAAAAATCAAAATAACAAATTCATCAGAAAAACCCAAAAGATTTGATTATTGATTAGCTTCCTTTCTTCTTCAGGTCTCATCTCTCACCTTTACACAGCAGATTCCATCGTCTCTCTCCGAGTTCCATGGCCGAGTTGACTCAGGCCGATGTTGTATACTCGCCTCGTTCGTTTCAAGTATGGAAGACTTTGGTGAACTGGCTTGCGTTTTTCTATCAGATCTTCCTTCAGATCCTTCGTGCTGTTGGTTACCATCCTCTTCTCTCTTCCTCTGCTAAAGCCACCGCCGATGGTTTTAAACCTTTACCGGCCATCGAGTTGCTCGATAGAGCGGCGGCGGAATCGCCCACCACCGTCGAAATCGCTTCCTCCGCGAACTCTTGTGGCGATGGAGAACAAGGACGGTCCCAGAGACTCAAGGTGTGTTTTCCATCTTCTTCTTCTTATCGGATTAGTCAAAGTCTCTCTGGAATTGGTTTGAATTTGACATTTTTGCTTGAAGAAATTTCAGAAATCTGTGGAGGCGTATTAGGTTGATATGTTAGTATAATATGATTGATTCATCATCACATATGTTAGTAAGAAGTTGTAATGATCATCTAAAAGATTTTGTCAATAGAGTTGAATTCGAATTTCATATAGTTTCATGTGATACTCTGTAGTTAAAAGCTCACAAATTGATGCATAAGTAGCACATCAATATCTCTACTTAACATTTTGACTTGTGAAAAACATTTCAAGTTTTTTCCTTCCTACCATCACTCATGTTGAAAGCTTAGTGTTGATTAGTTTAAGAACCTTGGAACTCTTAGTTATAAGTTGACTATCACTGTCACTGAGCTGACTGAGTGTCAGCAATTTCTTTTAGGTTTATGGTATTTTTGTCGGAAATGAATCAGAGAAGTCTAATGAGCTTTGCGTAGTAGCTATTGGTAGTGTTCTGAGTAGTCTGAGAACTGAAGATGTGTTTGCAGGTTGTTCTAGACTTGGATGAGACTTTAGTGTGTGCATATGAGACATCTAGTTTACCTGCTGCTTTACGTAATCAAGCCATTGAAGCCGGGTTAAAATGGTTCGAGCTGGAATGCTTATCAGTAGACAAGGTTTCTTCCAGATCATGTTCTTCTCTAATTAGTTAACTTTTTGTTAATTTGCTGTATTATGATACGAGCCCCTCTTGTGTCTGAAGGAATGTGATGGGAAACCAAAGATCAATTATGTCACGGTGTTTGAGCGTCCAGGATTGCACGAGTTCTTAGAGAAACTCAGCCAGTTTGCAGATCTTGTTCTGTTTACCGCTGGTCTTGAAGGTCTCGTGATTTTCTTCTCAGTTAAACTCTCTGTTCACAAATTCATGCTCAAATATATAATCCTCACAGTTGAAACTTCATGCAGGATATGCTAGACCGCTCGTGGACAGAATAGATACCAGAAACGTACTCAGCAACCGACTTTATCGACCTTCAACAGTCAGCACGTGAGTTATCCTGTTTTGAGGGTGCTCTGTTTTCTCTTTTAAACCAGTTTGTTGTAGGTTATTGAAATTTATAAATAGACATTTGTGTGGAATTCTTAAATCAGGCAATACCGAGATCACGTCAAGGATCTGTTAAGCACGTCAAAGAATATGTGTAGGACAGTAATTGTTGACAACAATCCTTTCAGCTTTTTATTGCAACCATCAAACGGGATTCCATGTATTGCATTTTCCGCGGGGCAGCCAAATGATACTCAGGTCTCTATCACTTATTACTCTTCTCATACATTTTTAACCCTTAAGATTATAACTTCCGAAACTAATCGAAATTATCAACCTTGAAGCTTTTGGACGTTATTCTACCACTTCTGAAGCAACTTTCAGAGGAAGACGATGTAAGACCGACACTTTATGACCGGTTCCATATGCCCGAATGGTTTGAGAAGCAAGGCATACCTCCATCGTGCTGGAATACTTAACCAGCTAAGCAGAAAGTAATGACGACCAAAACCAATATATGATAAATCTCTGATCCAAAAAGAGGCAAAGGACTTGTTTGGTACAGTAGTTTCAGCAATGAAAGCCACAGGAGAGGGAAGGCACAGAAATTACCATTCGTATTGTTTATAATGTATGGTAGATTCCTTTCAAATGACAAAACTCTTTTACACATTCTTGGTTTCATGCAAGCCTGTAGCATTCTCTGTAATTTTGTTAAATGATCAATCATTTTGTTTTTTTTTTTCTGGGTTGGGACGGTTTGGATATACCGATTTACAGATTAAACCAAAGTAGAAACTGGGTCTGGTATGAAAATAAACACTAGTTGACTCTTTTTCAAGTGCAGTGGTATAGTAACTATACGACTAATTCAAGTAAACATCGACATTGTGAAAAAAACAGCCAAACACATGTTTATTAAACCAAAGTCTGATGACACAAATAAAGGTAAAAAAAACATTAGTCTGAAACAGTGACTATTAGAAAAACCATAAAATTCAAAATGATTGAAAGCAATGAGTTTGCAGCATGAAAAAAGATAAGATAAAAAAGATTGCAAACACATCTTGACTAA